GAATCAAAACTTTTTTCAGTTCCATTAAGAGCAAATCAATATTTTAAGAAAACCTGAGATTTTGACCAAAACTTTTCTCCTTCAATTATAGCCAACTCAACCACATACAAACTGTTTTATAAATTGCCCCCTGGGAACCCCATTTCAACCTACACAGACTATCTGTGACACATTTTGGCTTTTTGTTTTTACTTTGTCCTAAATTTCCCCTTTGCCAAATAACCAGCCATTCTATTCCAGGAAAAAAAAAATCACCACACAGTATCCTTTCCCACATAAAACATTCCCTCTCTGTTTAATCTTTCTTACCACAAATACATTTTCATACTCATAGCTTTTCTACATGTGTTTCTCCCGCTTCGCTAGTTACTTCTGTCTTGCTTTTTTCCCTCCAAATCCATATTTTGAATCACGCTCCCAACAACCTCTGAATTAGACAAAATTACATTTATTTTGTTTCAATAAGGACAGTTTATGCCTCTTGCACAGAACATCCTGTTCCTTAGTATACTCCAAATATAGAATCACATAAATCAACTAGAATTCCTATTTTGAGTAACTTAAATTTTATTTATTTATTTTTTAATTTATTTATTGTTTTTTAAGACAGAGTCTCAAGCTGTCGCCCTTGGTAGAGTGCCATGGTGTCACAGCTCACAGCAACCTCAAACTCTTGAGCTTAAGCGATTCTCTTGCCTCAGCCTCCCAAGTAGCTGGGATTACAGGCACCCACCACAACACCCAGATATTTTTGTTCTCATTGTTGTTTAGCAGGCCCAGGCCAGGCTCGAACCTGCCAGCCTCAGTGTATGTGGCTGGTGCCCTACACACAAATTAGAGAACTAAGGATAAAAGTAGGGTAGCCAGAACAGGCTTCAGTTTGAAAAGAAATGTAACACTGAGGTCCAAAAGAACAATTATAATCTAGGGCTTGGGCAAAGGACACAAAGTTGAAAGCAAGAGTAGCAGCCTGAATGTAAGAAGAGACTTCAAACAGAAGAATAGGTTTCTGAGATCTCAAGTAACGTAGAAGAATTATAAATGTGATTTGCTTAAGGTATCAAAGATAAAGCTGAACCTTAAGAGTCTTGGGAGTACACCACTGACCTATGTAATGATATACTATAATAAAAGTAAACCCTTTTGCTGTCAATTGTCCCAGTGGTGTCTTTCATAATGGCAAAGCAGACAATCTAAGGAGCAACAATCAGCCAGCTGCTGGGAAAACGTTAAGTTTTAGTTTGGGGGCAAAGAAAGACAGGTCATCAGAACTAGACAAGGACAGTCGAAATCATTGGCAGAGGGCACAAAGTGGTTGAGTTTTTAGCAAAAATGAAACCAGTCCAGGACTGGTGGCTAAGTAACTTCCCTGAATCCAGGATTTATGGCCTATTTTAGTCTATTAATGTCTCCAAGCCCCTATTTCAAGCCCTTTACCTTGCAAGGTCAAATCTTGCAAGGTCAAGGTTGGCACAGTTGAGAAAGCACAAAGGCTAAGGGATAAAATTTGGGAATATCTGAACGAAGGAGAATCCCTTTCCCAATCTCTGAAAACCTGGGACACCCGAGGAGCAGCATCAGCCCTATTTTGGCTGTGGTGTGGCCTGTTTCAAGGCACCAATAGTTTCAGTCCTTTTAACTTGGAGTAAATAAAACAACATGGCCCTGGTATCCCAGAGTCATCACAATAAGGGACCTCTATTTAACCAAAGAAAATAATTTCAAAATCGGTAAGGAAAATGACCTGCTTTACAAAGAATGAAAACAGTCACCCAAATAGCTATAGCAAAAAGTATAAATGCAACTATAAAATAATGACAGGCATTCATTTATGCACTAAGACAAAAACAGATCAGTGAATGATAGTCTAAAATACATAAAAGATAGAAGAGAGGTGAAAAGAGATAATGAGTTGTTAAGACTCCTGCTTGGTGCAGGAACAAGTCCTCACCAGCTCCCAAGGTCAGGGTCACCCACTATCTATCAACTACTTGAACCTGCATAGCACACAGATTAGCTGCCACCCTATTATTTGAGTGCCATGGTGAGAAAGATAGAATGAGTCTATGTTCTCGAATTCAGAAAGAATTCAGAAACAGAGTTTAGAGATAGAATGAAAGGGTGGGACATTTTAGAAGATAAGAACAGTGTGTGGACAGATAAAAGTGTTTGGGTGTCCTTGCCCATAGCCTGAGGCATGAGATGAGATAAAACTGCCTGGGCTCTCTTGCCCATACCCCTCCTGGGCATGGGGGGGTGAGAAAGCAGGTGCTTTGTGTTCTTAGATAACCATAACTATGTACAATGATGTTTATGTAACGGCTTCTTGGCATGTTGCCACTTTTGTTCCCCTGGGTATAAAAGTGTGCAGGTCCTTCCCTGTGTGGATTTCGTATGGTGGATGGCAAATTAGGGATTATTACAGACCTTTTATGTAGCCCAGCTCCCTGGCCACCAGGAGATGGATAAGGGCAGGTCTCCTATGCAACTTAGCTTACCAGCCACTGAAGCAGAATAAAGACATGTTATGCCTGCCCTTCAGTGCTTCAGTTGTTCTCCAGTCTGTCCAAATTAGAACATTTGCATTGCAACAGAAAAGTAATCCAACTGGACATAGGCTGAGCTACCTGTCCTTCAGGTTCTGAACAGTGTGTGTAATCTAAATTTGGGGTCCCTTTGTCTTATCTGGATTACCACAAAAATGACACAGAAAATTAATTCCCAATGCTAGGCATCACCTGAAATCCAAGTGGATCCTTAGTTTTGCCCAAGAAAGAAGTCAGGATGGAGCCAATAGAAGTGAAAGTGAGTTTTATCTAGGAAGTACAGAACGTTTGCTCTGCAGAGTAGAGGCTAGTTCTCCTTGCAGAGGAGAAATGGCCTTATGGTTCCATTAGCCCTTCTATTTAAGCAATGACTTAATTATGGGATAAACAAGGAGAGGAATATTCATGTTGTTTTTTGGAAAAGGGCTGTGTTTTCCTGGAATTAGGGTGACACCCTCCTTTTGACTAAATATGGTCAAACCAAAAGTGTCCTGGTGTCACATACCTGATGGGAGTGGGAGGTTTCCTTAGAAACTATGATGGTAATTTTATGGCAATGAGAGTATAATGAAGCTGTAATGTCAAGAAATGGTTGATCTCTCTGCCACGTTGGTTCTAACCCATTGGAAATTGTCCTGCCCTTGTCTTTTTTTTTTTGAGACAGAGCCTCAAGCTGTCCCCCTGGGTAGAGTGCTCACAGCTCAAAGCAACTTCCAACTCCTGGGCTCAAGTGAGTCTCCTGCCTCCGCCTCCCAAGTAGCTGGGACCACAGGTGCCC